AAACGGCTCTCAGAAGGCCAAATCGAAGCACGAGAGAAAAGATAAGGTTTATGCAAAGAAAGTGTCTCATTCAAAAGCTTCAGAGGAAGAGGGAAACCACAGTGTGAGTTTTGACTTTAAGAGGATCTACTGCTGGTTGTGTAAACGTCAGTTCAGTACTAGTCAGAACCTGGGCAAGCATATTTCCGAGCTGCACACCGATGGAAACGATAGCATCTACATAAAGTTTTACCGCTGCCCCATCTGCAGATACGAGTCACGCCGGAAGCGTGATGTCATCCGCCATATCACAGTGGTTCACAAGAAGTCGTCCCGCTATCTGGCTAAGGTTATGCCTGCCTTGGAGAACCAGGCTGTGAAGAAACCAGCTGATGCGATCTTGAACAACTCAAACAAGAAACCAAATTCGAAAGAAGAGGGTAACGGGAAGCATAAAACGCAAGACCCACCAGCTTCCCCTAACAGTCGTCAACAAGATCCTCTCATGTCTCCCAAAGCAAAGAAACAAGAATCCCAAACATCCCCCAACACTCGAAAGCATTCTGCGCTCACGTCCCTTAACACAGTCAAACTCGAGTCTCCGCTCACACCAAATAGACAAGACAAGAACCTTCAAGCTACCAAGAACCCGCATGTCACTCGCAGTCATAATGTTACCAAGGGTGCACCCATCACCAGAAGCCAGGAGACCTGCACTGAGGTTAGGGTTACAAAAAACTTTTCCCTCCACGCATGCGATATGTGTGGCCGGGCATTTGCCAAAAAGGTCTACCTTGAGACTCATAGGCGAAGACACAGGACTGCCATCGCAAGTGGGGACAAATTACAAGGAAGAAGCACTCGATCAAAGGCCCTCATTTGGTAGGTTGCTTCTTTGTTATGCCATTTATTCAACAAGCACATTAAGATGCTTGCCTTAAAGCCCTAACCCTAAGAATTAGACTTCTGGCTGGAACTCGTTATGGACAAGAATGGTATCTCAAATTGAGCGGTGTTTCATTATCGTAAGGTGTGATGTTACCTTTCTAGGCAATTAGACTTGAGGGGATTCCCATAGACTTACATTGTAAAAGGAACATATCTAGGGACCAGAATGTCATAGAGAATTGGGGTTTGGTTTTTTTGTCTTGGACCAGTAAGTTACCACCTAGCAAATACTGAGTAATTACCTAGAACATCCTAGCACGGGGTGTCCAATCCTGCTCCTGGAGGGCTAATTTTTAGCTCCAGCCATCCCCAAAACACTTGCTTGGAAGTTTCTAGAATTCCCGAAGTTCTTGATTGGCTGGTTCAGGTGTGTATTTATGATTGGGGCTAAACTCTGCAGGATCGTGACCCTACTGGAGCAGAAATGGACCTCTACCTTAGTGCAATAGCGGCGAGTTTTGTAAAAATAGTTCAAAATGCTGTCGTTACAAGTTACAGAGTACCACCATAGCATCTAAATAACACTGTATAATACCTAATCTGTTATACAGACATCTTTGGTACTCTTAAAGGGATACTCCACTTTTTTTGGAAATAGGCTCATTTTACAACTCCCCCAAAGTTAAAGAGTTGAGTTTTACCGTTTTCGAATGAATTCAGCCGATTTTCTGATATTTAGAAGAATGTCAGTAATCAGACAGTTTCTGGTCTCATTGACTTCCATAGTATATTTTTCCCTACTATGGAAGTCAATGAGACCAGAAACTGTCTGATTACTGATATTCTTCTAAATATCAGAAAATCGGCTGAATGGATTCGAAAATGGTAAAACTCAACTCTTTAACCTTGAGGGAGTTGTAAAATGAGCCTATTTCCAAAAAAGTGGAGTATCCCTTTAAGAAAGCAGTACTTAGTATTTAAAAATAGTGATCTTAGACTGTTGAGTAAGATGAAAGACTTTCCTAGACTGTCTATCAATTTGTCTATGCACATTTGGTTTAATTTTGTTATCCAAGCCTCTGTGCATATTTTTCCCTCATCACATGCTCAGACAAATAATCTAAGGTCACCGTAATAGGAATTGCTCTCTAATTTGAATGCATGGTTGCAGACAGTATCAGAGAGGGATTCCCCATTGTCTGCTCTCTGTAATAGATATGTAGATGTGTTGAACTTTTACACGTTTTGACCTGACCTTTTAAACTTCCGGGGGCCTCCGGTGGTTTTGCCGAAAGAATAGTGATGCTCGAGAAGTTTTTGTAAATATCCGTTCCCTTAAAGTGACGGTTCACCTACAAATGGAAATGAATATAATTTGCTCAGTCTTGTTGTTCCAAACTGATAATTTGTTGAAATAAGAATGTAGAAGGAAGGAAAGTCGTATAGGCGAGGGGCGACATTCTTACACAAACTCTCCCTTTAACATCTTCGCTCACTTTTCTCTTTTTAAATATTCCTATTATTCACTTTTGATAGTTATGTTGTTATATATTCAATGAGTAATTTCATGTTTGATTCTCTCTTCACTTCTCCTTTCTTTTTTGTCCTTTCAGACTTTTTTTCAGTATACGCAGCACATTTGCACTGGATTTCATGGATGGATTTAACTCCATGCGAAGAAGAGGAAGGAATATGGACAAACTTATGGTTAGAAAACAAAGGATGACCTTTGTATAATGGGATTGAATGAGTCAAGAAAGAAGTGCGCCCAAAATGTTGTTCCTGATTTTTACCCTAGAGGATGCTGTGGTAAAAGAAATGGTATCCGATCTTCATTTGATTTTGAATGAGTTTTGACTTATTAGCGTTAACAAAATGTTTAAAGTAAACAACTCTCAAAATGAATTTTGATTAATTTAATGGATTATACCACTATTTTTTTTGCATTCTCAACAACAGTTTAAAAATACACAAAGAATGTTTATAAATGGACAATGGACTGAGTGTACAATACATAGGTTATCTGTATATGAACAGCATGTCTAACTAATGTTAAATATTCATAAGTTGATAAGTTCATGTAACTCTGCTTCATATTTCCCTGCCATGTGTTCACCTCTTTAATCAACTATAGATTGAAATGCTGCTAATTTGTTAGAAATGTACTTATATTTCTTCTACCCTTTAAAGTCGAAGCCTATATATTAAGCTGCTCAGGATGCATCTTAAATGAGAGCCCACATTTTTTTAAAAGCTTAAACTATTTTGTCTTTAACAAAAGGTTGCAACTGTGACTAAAATGAAATAGAATACTACTGGTAGCCTACTAAGTAGTTTGGTAGCCTACTAATAAGTTAACTAAAGCTAATGAGAAATTAACTTTCAGTTTTTGTAGATGGCTCTCATCATTGCTTTCAAGTATAGTGAAGCTTTTGAGCAAGTACAATTCCTTTTAGTTGGGGTGCATGCAGAATGCTTTAAAACATTTGTTTTTGTGTATAATGGAGCTTTCTCCAAATGCTATAGATTTATTCTGATGCACACTCCTTTTTATTTGCAAAATCCTGGTATACCCTTGCTTGCTGTAGGATTTTCCGTTCAAATAAAGATAAACACATAATAAACACATTCTTTGTCAACTTTTTTTTTTTAGATACTACCCTTCCATTAAAAAAGCATTTTAATTGTTGTATTTAAGACCATCAGGATGGATAAATATATTCAGTAGACTATATACAGTACTGGTCAAAATTTTGGAAACATTACTGTTTTTTAATGCTCATCAAACGTACATTTATTTGGAAATACAGAAAAAATGGTAATGTGAAATTACAATTTAAAATAATGTATTAATTTTAATACAGTAATTAATATACTTTAAAATGTAATTTATTTCTGTGATGCAAAACTGATTTTCTGAGATTCTCATCACCCATTATTACTTCATCAGAAAAAAAACAGAATAAAGTACTTGAAAATCTAAAATTAGTCACCTTATGCTCAAATACTCATTAAAGGTTTAAGTAAACAAGAGAAATGACCTCAGGTGGTGTGAGACTCCTGCCAAGCATAAATAGCGTAGGCCACATACGTACACGTCACTCCTCCTAAGTGGAATTACGCCAGCAGGTTTGCGATGTGGGGATGACACAATCTAAAACACATGGCAAAAAGCTATAGTGCAGACTAGAACCGGAATTTGACAACCGGAGTCGTCGTCATGGCAGCGCGCATTGTTTAGAGCATTGTTTTAGGTGAATACGTACAGAATGTGCACGTTAAGAAACACGTTCAAATTGGTCGTCGTAACACAACGACAACTGACGTCTTAACACGACAAGAATTAGCGTGTCTACGAGTACAAAAGTAAAACGTAAAAATGTGTCGCGTTAACGCGGTCAAATTTCACGCGTTTCGTTTTATTTGGCCCCGTTCGCGTTCCATATAGCAATCCACACGCGACTGAGCGCGAAACTTCTACATACGGCGACCATTTGAACTTATTGACTAAAGAAAAAAAATGTTGTGATTAAGTAATCATGAAAAGATTTTTTTACAGTGAAAAAGTGCATTATATGGAGAAAAAATCCTGGAATGTTTTCATCAAAAACCTTAATTTCTGTTCGACTGAAAAAAGAAAGACATGGATACCTTGGATGACTTGGGGCGGGTGAGTAAATTATCAGCAATTTTTTTTTTTTTTTTAAAGTGAACTCCTTTAAAGAACGTCAGATAACGTCAGTTGAAAAGTTGAAGATGCAGTGTTATTTCAGCATTGTCTACATTTTATTATATAATTTATTAACAATGTGAATTAGCCTTTAATTTTGCCTATTAGCCTTTTAGTGGCCTATTTCTAAAGCTTTAATTTATTTTTATTTCAGTTATAGTTTTATTCATTTTAGTAGCCTAATATTTCTAATATTTCAGTTAGTTGCCAATGTAACATCTCTAAAAACATTTTTAAAGTTGACATTTTTCATCCAATAGCCAACTTTTATTTTATTTCAACTTTTTTTTCAAAAACTTTTTTTAATAGTCTACTTTTAATTTGAACAACAACAGGCCTAGCCTACTGCATAACAGGAACTCTCTGTGTAAGTCCGCAGTGTTCACACTAGATGGAGCAAAAAGATCAGTCACAACAGTGACTGCTGAACAGCTTGATCTCTTCAAACCAGCTGGCAAGCCACACTGAACTGCTATTCCTACAGTTTTGCATTGATCAGTCTGAAGAGCAAAACATATTTTTAAATATATCATATAGGCTAGCACCGCGCGCTCGTTAAATACTCGTTACTAGTCCTCGTCCCAGTGTTTTGCAGTTTCTACATTTTTTTTATTTTTTATTTTCCTTAAACTTCTAATGCATCATTCGCAAAATTCTGAGTCCAGTTTGCCTCGATATGGCCCGGGGTGAAGAAAGCGTCCAAATTTTCAGACCAATCATAACGGAGTGGGAGTATTTGCGCGAGAAATGATGCGCTCGTGCGCTGTGTGCCTCTCGCGCGCTGTCCCTCCCAGCATCATCAAAGCAGCAGCGATCAGCGCGCGACCACAGCTCAGGCACCTGCAGGTATGAATCGATTCAAAATGTTATTTCTTTAAATCTGCCAAAGCAATAGAGTGAGTTGTGCTGTTCTGTAGCCTAAATATGGCATTTTCTAGTGTTTAAATGTTGCAGTGCTGTTTTGGTGCAACTATGATGTGCTGAAATGTTTCGTGGTGATGCTGATTGCATTTAATCTATAGCAATTATTATAGATGAGAAAAAACTGACAGTATGGTTACAATGTTTAAAAGTTTCATGCAGTAGCCTATACCAGCAGAATATGCGCAAAGCTTTTTATCATTCCTAAAGAGGGAGGCTGACATCATGCCTTTTTAATGAGTTCTAATGCAACAATGTTGACCGTGTGCTCTATTCCTTCACATTTATTAGATAATAATAATATTATACTTGATAGGGTTGAACGTATTAACCATACACTGTACAGTAGATTTTGTCAACTTAAAGAGACATAAAAGGACATTCTCACACTCACCATTATGTTATTTCAAACCTATGTATGACTTTTTTTCCTTCTGCTGTGGAGCACAAAACAGAGTCGCATTCATATTCATGATATGGAAAAAAAAAGATGCATTGAAAGCGACAGCTGACGGAGACTGTCAGTCTCCAGCCATCTCCATTTGTGGTCTATAGAAGAAATAAATCGGTTTGTAATGACATGAGGGTCAGTAAATGGCTCTTTGTTGGCTAACTGTCCCTTTTAGAGTTTTGTTTGAATGAAGGAATCAAACTTATTCTGCGATGATGATTTTGCCTTATGTCTTCCACTGCTCTTCATTGGGATCGATTTCCGGCAGCATTTGTTGAGCACATTGGCTCACAAATTATGTTTGCATAATATTATCTATGCATGCTTTAGAAGTCAATTTTCAGATCAGATGTGTTTAGCAAATGCACAAATGCCCTGATCGGTCTCCATTTTTCACACTTAGAGGCTCCTTGCTGTGCAGTGCATATGTGTGTTCTGAAAAAATATACCCAATCTTTGCTGATGAAGGCATATTCCTCTGCTGTTCCCTCTTACACAGGGTTCTAATGGTCTGTGACCTCTGTAATTGAGAAGCTTGCAACTATGTGATTGCCTCATATTCCATCATCGCCCTTCTTCGTTTTCCCCCCAAAAAACCTCCAGGCGACTCCAATGGTCTCCTTGTCGTCGGATTTCACTATCCGGTACGCAGTTGCTCCGTTGAGGGGCACTGATGACCCCTTTTGGTTATTGCGCTCCGTCCCTGCTGGCTTCCCACCTTTGTAACTGCATCCCCACTGCTACTTGTGCATCTGGATCCACTTTATGTCGCCATGTTGAGTGCCTTTGAATGGTATGGCTGTCTTCTTCTTCTGACGGGGATGACAAGATCCGTCGGCCAGCGTACGGATCCACTAACGCCCCCTGCCCCCGAATATGCCCACTCTATACGACTGGATGGTGACATCATCCTGGGGGGTCTCTTCCCGGTGCACGCTCGGGGCGAACGTGGCGCCCCTTGCGGGGAACTGAAAAAAGAGAAGGGTATTCATCGGTTAGAGGCTATGCTTTTCGCCATCGACCTAATCAACAAAGACCCCGACCTGCTGCCCAACGTGACCCTGGGGGCGCGCATATTGGACACCTGCTCGCGCGACACCTACGCCCTGGAACAGTCGCTTACCTTCGTGCAGGCGCTCATCGAGCGAGATTCTACCGACGTGCGATGCGCTAGTGGCGAGCAGCCGATCTTCGCCAAGCCGGACAAGATCATCGGTGTGATCGGTGCTGCGGCTAGTTCTGTCTCCATCATGGTGGCCAACATCCTACGCCTGTTTAAGGTAATTTCCGTCATTGCTACACTATCGGTTGGTGGCTTTGCTTAAGAGGCAAACCGTGTTTAATGTAGTTTAGGGTGTATTTTCTTCTACTTTGCAAAGCTTTAGTCATGGTTTTCAAGACATGTCGCACACCTGTCCATGCTAGCTTTTGCTTAATAGTTTCAAAGATTTAAGGGATTGCCGCAAAGTTTGATTGGATGCGCAACCTTGACATCAACAACAATAGCTGTGGGGGGAAAAATCGAGGCTGTAAATAAAAGATTATTGGAATACGTTTCAGATTTAATTCAATATGCTCAATAATTACTTGTTAAATTTATTAGCAATTTCTGAGTGAAAGATTGTTTTGAAATGTTTTTTTTTTTCCAGTGCACTAGAGGTAGGCCGAATATATCGGTTTGACCGATAATCCCATTGATTGATCGGTTTTTGGCTTGTTTTCCCACTTTTGTAGTTAGTATCGGCCCGAAACATGGCCGATAATCAGTCTACCTCCTAATTAGTGCCATATCGGTGATTGGTCGAGATTACACATTTTTTGTTAAAATTATCTGTGTCAGCTGATAGTGGATATTTAATTGAAATGAACACATTTGTGCACATTTAAGATGTAAAGTTAATCTTTAAAAACACTAATAGCTCAGTAATACTGTTGAATCGAATCTTTAGCAAATCTCAAAACAAATATGTACCATTTTTAAGACAAAATAGTATAGAGTTTAAATATCGGCATTTTATCGGTTATCGTAAATCATTAGAAGCGTATCTGTATTTTAATAGGAGTGCATCCAAGCTACTTTTTAAAAAAGTTCGTAAGTGTTACTTTTCCCACTTTACCTTGCATGATTGATTATATGGCTGGGTACTTTTTATTTCTTCCATCTCACAGAGTGATTCAGATGCATGCTCAGAGGAATTCATTGCACACACTTTTTGACAGCAGTGACTGTGAGTGGATGTAGTAGCCTGTAATAGAATCTGTTTTGAGGGCTAATCAATAATCACTCGAGTCTCTTAAGCAGTAAACCGGGACTACTAATGATTATAAATGAACAGTAATTGGTCAGACTTTTCAGAATCATCTCCAATAACGTTGAACCACTGGATCTGTTGATTTAAATATTTTTCCGGATTGTCCTAAATGGATTAATTTGCTGTTATCTGGTGTTTATGCTGAATTTCCCCCCCCTTTGAGTCACAAAAAAAAACGCCACTGGGTGTTTCATGTCTCATTAATAATTGAGTGTCTGTTATAGATACTAAATATATCTGGCTTGTAATTGGATCAAATAATGGGTATCATGTTTATCTGAAGAAAGCATTCACCTTTTCATCTGCAGTAGAGATTATGAAAATAAAACCACAGAAATGGTTTGAGGGGGAAGGTGTGATTTGGGATGCGGTTGAAACGAAAGCCTTATTTTCATTATGTATGGAGCATATTGTTAATCTGATTGGTAGTGTGTCTATCATATGCAAAAAGTTTGATCTGCATTGCAGTGTAACCAGTGTTGAAACTCAGCATGGACTTGAGAAGAAGTGAGATGTCTGGCTGTTTACCTATATTGAGCTTGTTGATTCGCTACTGCATTGTTCTTCACCTTGTGCATCAATCATTTAAATCAGATATCGATTGTGGATTTTTCTTTCATTTGTTTCTTTGTACAGTCGCAACCTTAATGGATCAATTTAAGCTGAGGCAGTAGATGCTTGATTCCCTTTGCTGTTTTTTTGAAATTTTAGAGCGTCCCCGACAACGTTGAAAATATGTTATTGGATTACTTACCCTGAAATTCCGTCGTAGAGTCTTTTCTGTTTCCTCTGCTCCTTCCTCTCATTGATCTGCAGAGACTGGACATTTGAAAGTGATATGTGTCTGGTCTCAAAACAGGATGTATTTGGGGAAGTCATTGAGTTTCTGAATTGGATTTACTGGAGCTCAAGGCTAGCAATTAGCTTAGTTAGAGAAAGTTAAGTAGATGTATCATGAACCGCGTCTAATCCGTAATCTAATGCATTGACTTTTTGAAGAAATTCCTGTCAGGATGCTATTCATTTTGCCCCATCCAATCATCACTGTGCTGTGCAGCCAGCACAGTTTGATAACTTCTTGCTAGCTAATGTTAGCTAACAGTCGGCTAATCTATTATATGTCTAATGTCTTAAAGACATTTAAACAAAATGCTAAAGGTATATTTTAAAGGTATATTTGTGAAGTATAGCTACATTTTTTATGATGATGTGATAATTCTTTGGCAGGCTAATGTTTCTCCCGATGTAGGTGATGCTATGCTAACCTCTGGTAAAATTGACTTTTGTTTGCTAAGATAAGATAAGAAAAACTTTATTGTCTGTCACAAGTGACAGAAATTTGTCTTTGACAAGACCGGCTCAAATAACATAAAAACACATCCAAAAACATGGATACACTTAAGACAATTATGCTAATTATGCTAACATCTATTTAGCGCATTCTGGCTAACTTTTTGGTCACTTGTATGTTTGAAAGGGCTGTTAATACATTCGATTTGCTATTTGTTTCAAAAGTGGAGAGTTTAGCCAATCATAATGAAATTATTTTGCATAGTCCTAAAGGTACAGTTCAGTTCTGAATATGTGGTCACATAATGTTGTTTGCAATAGGAGTCCATCTGATCAGGCTTGTGAGGGTGAAGGATTTACACAAACAGATTTTGCATCAGGTTAGCAATCAAGTTAATCACACATTTGTCACACAAACAGAATGCTGCTTAGTTTGAAAGTGACTTCTGTGTGAACGTTGCTTTTTACATCACAACACTATTGAAAATTTGGAAAATGGTCATGTAACTCTAAATTGTGACTAAAAAACTCTAAATAACATTTTCAATTGACTTAAACGACTAAGTGTAGAACACGGCCTCTTCAAGCTTCTCCAGTGCTTCATACCACATGAAGTAAAATTGTCCTATATCATGAATTAAAAATAGTTGAGGTTAAGATGGAAGGTGCATCTCCTTTACACTTAAACAGTTGTCCAAATTGCAATTGAGCTCAGCAATGGAGCACTTTATCACAGTCAGGTAAATGAGAAGTTACGAATAATTCAGAGAGTCACACTGTCTACATGTATATTTAAGTAGCTCATCCACTCAGAAGTGTGAAATATATTCATGCATATTTCATGAAGGGTAAGAATAATGGAGACATCACAATCCAGTTCAGATAATGACTTTATTGGTCAACTTAGTGGCAGAATGTGTCGGGGCAGAGGTAATGCCCTCCTCATTCAAGTAACTTGTAATGCAGACGTAAGGCTTAAAACACAGTGACCGCTACGCACCTGGGATTATACAGTAGAACAGACAGAGGGGACGATGAAGGGTGTGCGTTCAGTAGAAAGAAAACAATATGCTTTAAGTGAAGACATTTGATGCATTTATTGGATTTTGAAACATGGGAATGCTGTTTGGATTTATTTCTTTGTTTTCCTTTACATTTGAGTTATTTAATCATTCAGAAGCTACCCACTTTGTTGTTTCTTGTTATCTGTTTTTTTTTTTCATTTCATTTTTATTAGATTTTTTTTCCAATTCAAAAAGTAATGGCTTTACTAATAAGGTGCCTTGAGGCTACTGCTTCAAACCTGAATGATCTGTATAAATAAATGATGCAATAAAATAACTTATTTCTCACAGAATAAATTCGCTGAAAATTGGAATTTCACTTGAAAAATTAAATCCTTTAATACACGTTACTCTAAAAACAAAGCAATCAGTTCGTAGAATGAAACATGAACACGGAAATGCGAGTGTGTAAATGTATATATTTTCAATTCAAGAAATAATGGCTTTAAGGTCCCCTGAAGCAATTGCTTCATTCTTAAATGATTGGAATCAGTAAACACTGCAATAAAATATATGCTGCTTTCTCACAGAGTAAATTGCCTGAAAAGTGCAATTTTCAATCCGAAATACACAAGAAATATATATATATTTTTTTTTAAAAACAAAGCAATCTGTGAACCATGAATGAAGTATGAATGAGGATGTGCATGTGTGTAAATTGGCCTGATTTGTTTGGCATTCAGGGTATGATTGCCACCTCCAGGTCCCCATTATGACATTAGGTTACGGTGAAGCGTCGCATCACTCTTAATCAATACACAGCCTTAGCACAATCGGAGAAACGGAGGAGGGAATATTTTCTTTCCTGTAGCCGAGGCTGTGAAAACAAACATCTGTGTTTTCATGCCAGCCTCCTACGCCGACTCTCTTATACTGAGATGAAAAGTGGCCAGTGCACTGGTGTGACTGTCACCCTGTATTGACTCAGTGAAGAGATATGAGTGGGGTCAGTCCACCTGAGGGAATATGTTTTAGCACAGGAAATGAGGTCAAAGAGCGTTAAGCTTGGAAATAGGGCTGCATGTTTCTTGAATGTGGAAATTGTCATACTGTACACTGTAAAAAATATCTGATCAATAAGTATGTTCTGACAACATATGTTGTCTCATTTTTACATTGCTTTAAATCATTCAAATAATTTAAGAAATTTTTAAAAAAAATTATAAGTTATACAAGATTCAACTCATTCAAATCTCAACTCACTGATTTTTCCTGTACCTCCTTATTGCTGTACATGAGATCCAGGGGGTGGAGTTGGATCCATATATAAGGGGTGGAGATGGGTAGGATTAGGGGTGGGGTTAGGGATCAGGGGGTGGAGATGGGTAGGATTAGGGGTGGGGTCTGGAGTCAGGTGGCAGAGATGGGTAGGTTTAGGTAAATGTAAGGTTGGATCTGGATTACAGTGAGTCGAGTATTTCCATACAATCTTCTGTCCACATCAGAGGAAAAATGCACCTGTAGCCAAGTCACTAGGGGGTGCTGCTGAGGGTATGTATAGAGGGTGCCCTTTAATTTCCCTTAAAATATGCCACTTCCTGTGAGAGGAATAGTTGTCATAGACAGAAATGGACAGAGCGATCTCATTGGAACTCCATTGAGACAATTGAAGCC